AGGCTGGAACATGAAGCTAAACTTCTTCAAAAACTTAAAATTAGGCTTTTAAAATTTTTTTATTAAACATTAAAGTATGCTAAACTTCAGGTTTGCTGAAAGTAAAAAAATTGACAAAGTAGAAATTCTTTACAATATTCTATAATTCATTATCTTTTACAAATGACCAGAAACCAGGTAAACAGGAGAAGGAATAAACTGACRCCCACAACATGACTGCTGCAAAAGAAAAAAAAAGTGTATATTTAGTTTTGGACCACAGCTCAGAGATTCAGTTGGTTCTGGATCAAACAAGTCCACAGTGTTTGTTTAGAACCTCTTCAAAACCCTGCTGAGGGTCCTGACCCAAGACCAATACTCTTTTCTAGCACAGTATTGAGAAACCTTTTTTTTCRTCTGCCTGCCAATTGTGTTATGTCAGCTGGGTAGTAAGATGTGGGCAATATTAACTTCATTCATGCTGGACCTGGAAGCTACAATCTGGGTGAGTGGAAGAGGAATATCTTGTCCTTGTGTCATCCCGATTTCAAACTACCAGGAAATGTTTGTCTTTAATCCTATTGTCTGCCATTTTACAATGAGCAAAGTTCAAGATCTGAACAGAAGCAACCATCACTCAGTAAACTGGGGCCCAGTTAGAATCTGGATGCAGAGCATTTTGGATTTCCTGGATCATGGTTTAAAATACATTTTTCCAACAGACAATAACAGAAGTTATTGCCTGAAAACCCAAGTTAATCAGTTTAAGATGTACATTAAATTAACTTTCTAAATGTCTCAAGAAAACCTAGTTTTTTTGTGAAATATGCTAACAGTTTTTRAATGGTTATTGGAAATGGAGCTGGTGCTATTGCCATCAGCTTGGAGTAAAAATGTTGCATTATTCTCAGCTCCCAACACCGATTTTTCATATTCATCATTAACTGAAATACAATTTTTGTTCAGGTTGATTTGCTGCAGCAACCACTTTTAATTAGGTTAACTCCAAAATACTCTGGTATACATGTACGTGTAATACTTTGAGTTTCAGTATAATGCATYAGGCTCATGAGATATTCATGACAGACATACATGTGTTGGCAATTACCTGATCAGCTTCCACTCATGCTAACGGTTTCTGTTTATAGTCTGTGTTGCTGACATAACATTTTGTTGAATAGTCATGTGAYTTTTATAGCCAAAGCATGAATTTTTTTTTAGTTCATGCTTAGTGACTGTTGATGACAAAGGCCTCATTTCTGTCATGAAAACATCCACTCTCACTCCAGGAGTTACATGGAGGATGAGTGTTAATTTTTTCCTTTTGTGGTCAGGTTGTGGCCCTGCTGCTGCTGCTGCTTATCCCCACAGCTGTAAAGCCTCATTGAGGACTGGGTCCTCTGTACCTCCTGTGCATAAAAACTGTCATGAAGTTAAAGACAAAGGGCTGAAAGCTCCATTCGCTTGAATTGCCCCGAGCGTCACACACTTCCTGTTCTACCGTTTAAGGAGTATCAACAAACTGTAAGAGTCTGGGGGAGATTTGGATCAGGAAAAGCACGGGAATGACAGCGAAAAGAAGGCTGCAAGCCTTCCAACTATAACTTTAGCTAGTGTGTGACATCAGCYCACAGCCAAATGATTCCTGACCTTTACTTTATACATTCACAAACATGCATGTTTGCAATTTTTAGAGACTGTTGGAAAAATTAATTTGATTACGAGGGCCTGAAAATTGAAGATTTCTAACAGCATGTTGACTTATCCCTATAATCAAACACACTCCATAAAGTGTTCAGATATTAAGATGGAGCTCTAGAAAAGTTTTGAGAAACAGTTTATTTCCAACCCAATTAACAAACTGTGAGGTTTCAGCAGGTACCCAGGGTGCAGGCAAAAATCAAAGGTGCAACAAAAAGGTTTATTCTAATAACAAAAAGGGGGCTGAAGACAGCAAAAACTTACAGACAAGTGCTTCTCAGGAGGAACAGACAGAACACCACACAGGCTGAGGGGAAACAGCACAATGAACCGACACAAGACTGAGACAGGGCAGGACTTAAATACACTGAAAACTAATGAATGAACAGAAAACACCTGGTGAGAAACACGAGGGTGACAATCAGGCTAATGTGGGGCAGCTGGGCTGAGACACACRTGGGAACATAGAAACACTAGGAAAACCAAGGTGAAAACTGACAAACCATGACACAAACTGATCACTATGCTGATCTTGACCCAAATGAATGTGGAATGATGCTTTGTGAGAAAGTAAAAACATCTCCAATCTCAAAAAATGTCTTAAGTGGATCAACCAGTAATATGGAAGCATTGCTGTCAACTTTTAATATACAAATATTCACACAGAATTCTGTGTGTCTTTTCAGTTTGGCACTGCGACGCTCTGGAGCAYGGCACACAGCGAGGATCCGGTGCGCACGCACATGCAGCAGCAGAGATCAAACTGGGGTTCTACAGGGCTTTCCAAAGGGAGCTGGCAGACCGATCAGGAATGTGCCAGTCCAGTCCACTCAAAGCCGAATCATGACCGATGGAACGGTCTCATCCATCCAACACCATGCGATGTCATGAAAACTCTCCAGCACTGAGGCGCAGTGACTTGTTCTTAAAATCAGCTATGAAATAAACAAAGATCTACGTTCTACCAAACATTTAGGCTCATCTGGTCCTCTCTAATTATGGTAATGAACTCATGCATAAAGTTAACATTACCAGGCTCAGAATGAATGGATGCGCCGGCTGCGCACAGCAGCTTCACACACACACACACACACACACACACACACACACACACACACCGATACATAATCACTCTTCTTTGCGTGACAAACATATTTTACTCTTATTTTTACTTAGGATTTTTTTCTCACTCACATTATATTTAATTCATTATTTTTAGAAATCATTTCTGATCTCGCAGGGGTCAAACATGTCCTTCACACATGCAGGAAGTAATTTGCATCTGTTTAACATATGTTAATGAAGGCGTGTCAGGGGAGGTGTCTTACCTGCGCTCAGTTCCACGTTAATTGTGATGTACAAAAGAAATGTGCGTGGATTCAGGCGTACGCACAGTTTGATGCATCTGGATTTTTTTGTGCACACGCCATTTTCTAGATTTGACCGTACGCCACGTTTCAGTAAGAAATCCACAMAAGTCTTTGTACATGAGGCCCCTGGTGAGCTTTTCTCAGGAGGCAGGAATGGCAAGCAGATAAACAGTCTTCAGTTTGGCAACAGGAGATATCTGAACACAGAAAAAGTGGAACTCTGGTAATCAGAACTACAGCACAGTTGTGAGTGTAAATACCAGGCACGTGTTGCTCCAGCAAGGACCAGATCAATGCTGCCTTAAATACCTGCAGAGCTCATTGGGAGAATCTGCTGCAGCTGCACTCACTCAGGTAATCAGCCGCTCAGGAACAGGAAAAACAGGTAATACACAAAATACCACAGAGTATCAATAAGTCTTGATTTCAAGCAGTATAAYATGAAACCAGGATATGAGTTACAACAATGTTTAATTTCCCTTTGACATTGATAAATTATTTTTGAATTGAATAATATACCAGTAAATATCAAGGCTGATATCAATGCTTGTATCAAAACATCCTAAAAATACCATTACTTTATCATAATCTGAGTCATAGCAAAGTCTCCTGTCATGCAACAGGAGCAGGAAGTGTCTGTGAAAGCCGTGGTATTTTACAGCTGCAGCAAACTGTAAACAAACCTCCCAATCATGACGTTTGCATGCAGCAGCGTCACTTCTGAGACTGCTGAGATGTTTCATTTTTCTCCCTCCCACTCGCTTTAAAATACTCTCCTTTTTAAAGTCACATTTATGGTATTTACTGTGTCGATCCCTGAAACATCACAAACCTTTGTTTACGCAACTTGTTTTTTTCCATCAATCCTTGCAATCGTGTCTCTGCTCAGCACTTCTGCTCTGAAAATACATGAAGGCAGTCAAGTGAGCGTGCAGAGTAAAACCAGCCCCTGCTGAAAATATTGACTCAACGTTAACCGCTTCTTCCAATTAAGCGCTTCGATACAGATTCAGCTTTTGCAAAAAACAGAAAGGATGTTTATATGTCTTCACATCTCAGCACATCTCGTCCTCCATGATCCCAAATGGCTCTTCTTGATTCAAATCGAGCATTCTTTCGCTTAAGGACTCTCTAATCATTACATCCTCCCTGCTTATCTCCAGGTTAGTGTGGTGAGCTGGAATGTGTCCTAAAAAAACAAACAAACATAAAGAGATTTCCTAAAGAGGCCTCACTTCTCACCAGTCCTTGGAGGCCGAGAGGAGCAGCAGTACGGGAAGCGGAGCGTGACTCACCACTCTCACTGAAAAATACACAAATAGTTGAAAGATTAAATCGTTTTTCTTTTTTAAATAATGCTGGAGCGAGCAATAAATCAGACATGATGTCAACATTCTGACAAAGTCCTAATGAAGTGGAAAATGTTTGTGCTTGAAACAGTTACAAACTTTTTTTTTTGTAAAATAATTATTGTTTTTAAAAAAGGCAGCTGAAAATAAAATTATAGCCTTGATGGAATACRTCACCTTTAGATGAATATCATTTTATGCTGGGAAATAAAGTTGTAGCTGTTTTGATTAAACTAACAATGAGCCTCATGCAAAAACCATTCATACGCACAGATTTGTTCTTAAGTTGTGCGTACGAGTGATTTAGGAGAATTTGTGGCATTCACCAATGTTTTCGTATTCTACGATTTTTTTC